AGAATGAGAAAACAAGAATTTCAAATTACATTCATAGAGTTCAAAATACAGTTGCAATATGAAAACTCAAGATATATCAATGTAAAACGAACAACGACAATTTTGGCAACCTTTGACTTACTAATAAGGTTGAAATGCAATATATTAGACATTGCCTCATGCTTCTTTAGTTTTATTTCGTTTTCAGGGATTTATGACACCCGACTAACGTTGAAGAAGTGCAGAACTTAGTTGTGGAGTACTGTGTCTCAAATTATGCAATGAAGGAACTCATATCTGTTAAAAGATTACTAATTTTTGTCGAAGGCGAGGAGCTACCTGTAAGACATTAGAAATAAGCAAACTGGAATTAATCTTTAAAAGCCTCGACTGATGTGATAGTCACCCGAATGACTGAATGTTTTGTCTCCATAAATTAGCCTGCAATTTTTATCTCAAGACGGAAGGAATACACATACAGGTTGCAGCGCAATCACTGACTTGAGAAATCAGATTACTATTATATAAAATAAGCATATACCTGTCTACAATTCATCATCATAATTCATATTGGTCTTACCCTTCGGGCAGTGGTTTGGGTTTGGGACTTCCATATTGGAGGTCTCAAGTTCGAAACCCCTTGCCAATGAAAGAAAGCAAGGGGTTTGCCTTCTGGGTCGAGCTTGTCGCACCGGGCTTGCCTAGTACGGGTTACCTCTCCTATGTGATTTGCGAGCTATTGCATAGGAGCGGGGTTACCCTGTGCGCACCCAAAGGATAGCAGCTGCGCATTTCCCTTGTCATCAAAAAAATAATTCATATTGGTCTTTCATGAAAAACATCTTCAAGAATTTCATACTATGACCTCCTAATACAACATTCCGCACTACGATAGAATTTATTAGTCATTGTTGGACTTCCTTGCATATACTAAGTAAGCATACTATAACACTTCAAAGTACTTTAGAGAGCATCTAATTTGCATTAGAATGTCCATTTAATAAAAATCTATTGGAAACTTGGTAAAAGTATTAAAATAGGGCTCGAAACAATATGAAAGAACAATAAAACCAAAAGTCTCTCTTCAAATTTCAATAATCTTGAAACTAAAAAGGTTAATTTTCAAATAAAAACCTACATCTGGAGTCCCCAAAAGCAAGAGCAGGGAAAATAATTCAGAGGAATTAGCGACAAGACTCATCAATATTTCGTTTGTTCAGTATATATTGCAAAGAATCTTACCGAATTATTTAGTTGTTTCAGGCATATCATCGAACACCTTGGGTTCATCAATCTTCCCCCAAAATTATTGCAACTGAATAAAAAAATAATAATACATGCATACAGAAAATGTAGTAAAATATTAAATGGAACTATGAGTAAGATCAAATTCAGAAAAGAAAAAACAAAGAAGAAGAAACAAATCGAAAAGGGAAAAATGGAGCGCCATTTTTCCTCCTTTGGTAATTGTTAGTGGGAAGAAAGCTTTTCATTTGCAATAGCAGTGGCGAGAAGGGAAGCACACGCGTCAAACCCAAATGGCAAGCCGTTGGAGCTTGTTAATAGGTCAGAGTAGCAAAATGACGGAACTACCCTGATTGTCCGACGAAACCACCACTTATTAAGAATGATGATGATGATGTTTGATTGTACGTATCATTCGTAGTTGCAACTTGCAAGCATATTCCATTGATCATTTGAAGGGTTTGTTCCGAAAAGTTTTATGGTGGGAGAGGCACTTGGTATGTGAGGCATTATTTTTGAATTAAAAAAATATATGGGTTCACTTCTATCCTTCTCATTCTATATTGTTATATCTCTCTCTTACCTTTCCTTCTCACCCCTCCTTTTTGTCATTTCTTTCCTTTCACCTTTTTATTTTTTATTTTTTATTTTTCTAATTCTTTGTCTAATTTTTTAATCAATTTTTTCAATGGTTAATTTTATTCATCCAATTTTCTTATATCATTTTATATTTATATATGTTCTCCATTTGATAAATATCACGTTGATTATTTTTATAAAAAAAATATTTGAGAATACAAGAAAAAATATGGGAGGAAATTGCAAAATAAAAATTAGAATTTTCATCTATGAAAGAAATGTCTAGATAGTTAATCAATTAAGCTAAAAAATCATTTATTTGATATGTATATATACATTTGATTGGTTAGTTTTTTTTTTCACTGTCAAACCACAACGAATCAATAAAATCAAGTTTTTCAATTTTCTCAGTTTTTTTTAAGTTTCATTTGAAACATGTTACACTGAAATTAAATTATTTTTTATAAAATATGACGCAAATGTCACACTATTTCATACAATTATATCTACTTCAATTTATTATAAATAATTATATAAACACTATCATTTTAACGCATAAAAAAGGAAAACAATATTTTGTATATACAAATATTAATATATTTCCCATTTTTGTGGCATTATGGTTGATAGTTTTTTATATAACGGTTTACAATGAGTTATATTAAATAAATAAATAATGATACAAAATAGTATGATATTTACATTATATTTCATAAAAATAAAATTCATTTTATTGTAAAATGTTTCAAATCAAGATTAAAAAAATTAAGAAAATTGAAAAACCTAATTTCATTAATTTGGTATGGTTTATTAATATAAAAATTGATGAAATAATTCAATTTGATAAGTGAAAAATTAATCAATCATGCTTAAATACATGTACCAAATGAGGGATATTAATAGTTTAATTGATTGACTATCTAGACTTTTATTTCGTAGATGAAGGTTTTATTCTTCATTTTGTAATTTTCTCCACCATTTTTTATTCTCATATTTTTATGTAATTTAAAAAAATTAAAAGTAATATATTTGTTAATTATCAAATATGAAAAAAATTAATATACGAATGATATAAAAAAATTAAATAAATAAAATTCATAACTTAAAATTGATCTGAAATATTAGAGGAAAGAAGAATAAAAGATTTTTTTATAAAAAAAAGGGGCAAAGAAAAGAAATGGACAAGTGAACGAATGTGGAGTAAAATGTATGGGAAAAAGAATAACAATGCAAAATAAAACGAATAGGACCCACATAATTTTTTATTCATAAATTAAGACATACAGGAGAGAGAAACAACAATATTGAATAGGAAAGGTGGGACCTACATACTTTTTAATTAAAAAATAATGCCTCACATATCAAGTCATGTGCCTCTTCCCCCATAAAATTTTCGTTTTTGCCTATGGAGAAATATATATTTTAAAAATATACCTTTTAATATTAATATATGAAGCTATCAATAATTGTCGAGTGTTAATTAATTAAAACAGGGATCTAAAGTTATATTAGTAGTTATTTTATAATGGAAAGTGACTAAGTTATATATAGTATATTTTCACAAAATAGAGACAGGTAGACTATATTAAGGGTGGCAAAATCAAACTCATCTCGTCTAATCTGTTCAATTCAGTTAAGTTTGGATTGGTTATTGACCACCCATTTATTAGCTCAACTCATTTCAACCCATTGAAAATTGGGTTGATATGTAACCCGAATTGGCTCATGACAAATCTTATCCAAATATTTTTAATTAATGATATGTTATATATATAGATATATATATAATCTTATTCTAAAATACTTTAAAAGAACAAATAAGACAATTAGGCCTAGCAAAAATTGGGCTGGGTTGAGTCTTGACCCGTTATATAACTAACCCATTACCTAAACCATTCTTACCCAAGCAAATTTTGAATTGGTTTGAATCTTGACCTGATTATTATCTTAACCCATTATGACCCGCCCAAATTTAATCCAATCCGCCCAATTATCACCCCTGAACTATACACAATAACACAGACCTTATTAAGGGCTATTTCTGATGAACCCCCTTCAGTTTTATACTGGCAAAAAGAAATTTTATGAACAATTTTTTTTAGTAATGTTAAGGTAATTAAATCTTCAAAAATTATATTTTTAAAAAAAACATTTTGGGAGAAAACATTTCTGGGTCATTTTTGGCTGCATTAGGACAAATAATTAATATCCGGGTGAAATATCCGAAAAACTAATACGTATGACTTTTGAATTGTAGCATAACATTTTAAATTGCTAAGTTGATTTATTACGTTTAATTAATAGTATTATACATGTTTGGTTCCTAACGTAAAACTCTACGTAACTACTGCATAGTTTAATTTAATTTGGCGCATTCAACCCTGCACTGTGAATGCTAACATAAATTTATGTATTGTCTTTTTTTTTTAAATAATAAATAAATAGAATATGAAACAAAAGCAGCTGTGCCGCTCGTCTCCACCGCCCCGTTTATTTTCTTGTAGTACTATCTCTTATTTGCTTATAGTTATCTACTATATTTAATTTGACCATTTTTATTTTATTTTTGTTATTTCTCAGTGATAATAATTTTTAAGCCTATCAATAGTTTGAAGATAAATTAATTATCTGCACTAAGTTCAGAGATATTTTTAATACTTCTCTCTATATTTTTTCAGTGATAATAAAAAGAATGAAAGTTATTGTATGCTATCATTGGATCGAAGATCGGAAAATTTTGGATCATGTTCGCTATACAAGCTTTTACCTAATTGATAAATATTTAATTTTTCACTTTTTAATCGTCTCTCTATTTTTCCTACCTCATTTTTTTTAAAAACAAATAAATTAAAGTAACTTAAATTAGTTACATACATTGCTAAATTGTTTGAAGATAATAACTTTGTGATGATTCATTGCTAAAAATTTTAATAATAAATGCTATTTAACAAAATTTATGTGCGTTAACTATCCATTATGCAAAGTAGGCAAAAACTGTAATATGATGGATAAGACTGATCTTTTGTAATTATAGGTCTCAAATTAGAATGTAGAATAGTGGATGAGATTGTTACTTATTTTATACAGATTTCAAATTTGTATTTGGATATGAAAAAATTCTTTCTCTTAAATGAAGCTTACAATTTCAAATTAGTGAGACTTTAATGACTCAGGGGCAAACCAAAAAAATAAATCAACACCCCTCATGTCTTCCTAACCAATCTCTCTTTATAGAAGTAAAGTAATGCGATTTTGAGAAACAGAATTTTGATAATATCCCTCATTGCATAAGAAAATTCAGGTACATTTCATGCCGTGTCGGTGTCAGCAAGGTACACCAAAAGTAATAAACAGGGTGGCAAAAAAGAGGAGGATTTAGCAATTTGTTGATTTTTCTTTCTTTCTTGTCAACTTCAAAAGCCCCTCTTCCCAGTCGGCTCTCTTTCAAGATTCCCTTATACTTCCCCTTTCTTTCGCTATTAACGCCTCTTTTCTCTCTCTGAGTTCTTGTTGATATTTCCAAAGACCCCATTTTTAACACTGCTCACAATATGGCTGACGAATCCATTTCAGGTTCTGCATCTTCTATCTCTTCAACATATATTTACAAATGATGAATGCATGATTTGGCTTTTCTTTATTGTTTCAAAATTTTGGGTTTTTAGTAGCTTCTTTGTTACTATCTTGAATCCTGTTTAGATATTCGATCTTTGTTGTTCAATCATTGATGGTAGGTACATCATACTTCATGTAGTTGACAATGAAAATTGGCCAAATGGGTCATATTGAGTAGTAGATTTTCTTTTGCGGTTGTGTTCTGTTTTTAAGTTTTATTGTGTATCTTGGAATGACTTCAGATATTCACAAGATTGGACACTTTCTGCTAAAAAGAAAGAAAACTGCTTTTTTTCTGGTTGATCTAATTCTGAACTACTTGTTATAGTTTATGAAAACAAGGATTTATTAGCTACAGTTTGGTTAATGCACGCCCAAAGTGAAAGCTGCTACCTGCCTTCCTTTTCTTGAATGAAATTAGTGATTATATTTGTTAGCTGGTGAGGCTGTATATTATTTAAAAATAAAACTTTTGATGCTTTCAATTTAGAAGCTATCCTGATTTGATTTGTTTCAAGAGAACTTGATCATTTGGCTGTGTGCTCCGTTGACAGCAGAATTTGGATGTTTGCAGGCAATTTAAAAGACCTTTCTTTGAGTAGAAATGGTGTGGTGTCAAAGAAGTCTCATTTAGTTGTTTGTTTTGGAGAGATGCTCATTGACTTCATCCCAACTGTTGCCGGAGTTTCACTTGCAGAAGCTCCTGCCTTCGAAAAAGCTCCCGGTGGTGCACCTGCTAATGTTGCTGTGTGCATCTCAAAGTTAGGGGGTTCATCTGCTTTTATTGGAAAGGTATAATTTGTTTTCATACTGTTCTACTCATTAAATTCAGTAATGGGATATCTTGTTTGGACGAAGATGCTCCTTTTCTTTCTTTTGTTGTGGAGGGTGATAATGTTTGCTCTAGCTTTTATAATGTTCTATAAGCACACCAGTGATATTGGAATACAAATTTCTCATAACAGAGGGGTACCTACTTTGAATTGTTGAAGTTGTCCGTGTGCTTTTTTGCTTAGTGTATACAGTGCAAGAATATTCTTTGATTTCCTGGTGATTAAATAAGTACAAGAACCATGCAGTGCAAGTGTACTGTGTAATGTATAGCATGAGAGCATTGTTTCCTCTTCATGTAGTTGTGTCTTATGGATACTTAATTATAGTTCAAATCAGTAATTGTCTTTCAATTGTTGAATTTCAGTGATCGCTCGTAAAAATTTAGGTTTTGCTCACTCTGAAATAGAAAACTGAAAACAGATTACATGTCAGTATTTTATGCAAATCGCTATGCTAAGTTCTTTTTTTCTTTTGTGTTATGTAAAGAACAAAATATTCATAAAAGAAAAAATTCAAATCGCTATTTTCTATTTTTGAGAATGTTAAGAATTCTTACCATTCTTTCTTAGAAAATGATTAAATCCTCCTGCTGCCTTCTGTGAGTGGATAAATGTGTAAATGATCTTTCATACTATTGGTTAGGCTAGTGTACAGTCTGCTCAGTCATATAGATATGGGAAACTGATTGTGCAGTATATTGGTATCATCATGCTTTACATACATATTGCTATCCAACTAGCTCTCACGGGAAGAAGTTGGGATAGTGCTTGCATTACTATCTATATGTGTTGAGTTTCTGTATATGTTATTCATCAATCAATACAAGGCCCTGCACTGAATCCGCTTAGTCATGTTATATACTACTTTTTTTGCTTGTTCATCTTATGGACTGAACCTTTTTTTCCTTGCTTCTGTACTGATTGCATTATTCTTATTTGAAACCTTTGTGCTAAGCCTTAATTGACGATGACTTTTAAATGTGGCCTATAGATAGCTTTAAGATTTGTGCATCTTTAATTAGGTTGGTGACGATGAGTTCGGCCGTATGTTGGCTGACATTTTGAAGCAAAACAATGTTGACAATTCCGGCATGCGGTTTGACCATGATGCAAGGACTGCACTGGCCTTCATTACACTCACAGCTGAAGGTGAGCGGGAGTTCGTGTTTTTCCGTAATCCTAGTGCTGATATGCTTCTTCGGGAGTCAGAACTTGATGTAGATCTTATTAAAAAGGTGTAGCTTCCTCCTTATTACTTCAATGCATAGAAGTGTTTTCCATTTAGCTTCAAAGCAAAATTTTACTAAAGGCATATTAATCATGTCCAGGCCACCATCTTCCATTACGGTTCGATTAGTTTGATCGACGAACCTTGTAGGTCAACACACCTTGCTGCAATGGACATTGCCAAAAGATCAGGTAGCATACTGTCGTATGATCCGAACCTGAGATTGCCTTTATGGCCTTCAGAAGATGCTGCTCGAAGTGGAATAATGAGTGTATGGAACCTAGCAGATATTATTAAGGTATTATTTTTTCACAAATAATAAGTGCTTCACCTGCTAAGTTCTCCTTGACAATAAAATCTGTATTTCTACATGCAGATAAGTGAGGATGAAATTTCATTCTTGACTGGAGCCGATGATCCAAATGATGACGAGGTGGTGTTGAAGAGGCTTTTCCATCCTAATCTGAAGCTTTTGCTTGTAACTGAAGGTTCAGCTGGTTGCAGATATTACACCAAGGTATTCTTATCCTATTTTATCCACATATTTTCTTTAATTTCATATGAAAATGAACTTATAATGCTTAAAGCTGAAAATTTTACTACATATGACTAACATCTTTATTTACTCTGAAGATGAAAATGTCTCAGCCTCCCAGGCATTAAATTTTGACCAAATAGAATTTTATGTTATGTATACAGTACATTTTTGTACTTATATGTTAGAGTACTACTTTTGAAGTTAAATGCATGAACTACTGAGATTTTGTCGACTTAGTAGCTTTAATTTGCCAATGGGTTCTGACTCAATTGATGCAGAAATTCAAGGGAAGAGTAAATTCGATTAAGGTAAAAGCTGTTGATACAACTGGTGCTGGTGATGCATTTACCGGTGGAGTTCTAAAGTGTCTAGCTTCTGATGCTAGTCTTTATCAGGTGCATGAATTTTGATATGAGCAAAAAAGGCAATAGTAGTTTTCACATTATTCATGCAGAATCAAATTTTTTTTCTCTTGTCATACTTTCTTCCCATGTTAACCCTGGTCTACTATTTGGCAGTGTTAAGATAGGTAAAATATAAATAATTCTGTTCTTTCTGAGACCCGTTGTGAGATCTTCAACCAATTGCGCATTATTTTTTTCTTTTATTCCCCTAATTCTAAAGTCTATTTACAAGTTCCTAAATAGGGAGAACCCCAGAATTTTGATAGTTTCAAGTAGCTGCTTGCTTGCTTCATATACCGACTGTTGCAATTTGAACTGTGCCCCCTGGCTGAGGGGGCAAAATCACTGCTTTCACGGCTGTATAGTAATTTGATTGATGGGTGATTTGTCCGCTCATAGTTTTTGATGGTACACCCAGCAAGTAAAGATTGCTTTTGCTTTAACAGGTTTTAATTGGTCTTTCTGAAGATTGTCTTGCTTTCACCCGTGTAAATGGGAACATTGTGAAAGATTCTAACATTTCCTTATACCGGTCACTTTTTCTCGTTATTTATTTCCATTTTTAGATCTCATCATGTCAGCATTTCCATGAGTATGTCCTAGAACGTGGAATACCAGGAGATAGATTGATTGCTTCACTTGCATTTTAGTCCATTTCATTGATTGAACATCTAGTTCCTAACTCTAGAAATCCTTGTTTATATTCTTGGCAGGATGAGAAGCGGTTAAGGGAGGCTATCTTTTTTGCTAATGTTTGTGCTGCCCTGACAGTAACAGGAAGAGGTGGAATCCCATCCCTTCCTACACAAGATGCAGTTCAACGAACTCTTGCTGAGGTCACTGCATGAGAAGGCAGAACAAGTTTTGCTCGCTTCATGCTGTATCTGCATTATTCTAGATTTATTTTCACAATGGTCGATTTATTTTGTTTTTGTCTCTGGCATCTGCTGGTTAGTTCCTCTCTTTGGAAAGAAGTTGCAGCCAAAGAGACATTTAGGAGATGCAGGAAAAAATAGCTTAGCGCGTCTTCTGTCAGTCATGCTGGGAAATGCTGGAAAGCCTTTTTTGCTAGTCAAAATACAAGCTGTTATGTCTCCGGTACATATCTGATCCTTGTTACGGATCCATCAGAAGCCAAGATAGAGAAGGTTAATATTGGTTATTGAGATTTACTGCGTGTAGAGAGAAAAACAAAAGTGTACATGCATTTAACGACTATCCAGCTTTTGTTTGTTTAATTTGTTTTCTTTTCAAGAGCCATTTTGTTTTTGTTTCCTTTAATGTGTCTGTATTATAAGCTGACTTCATGAGAGGGCAGCTTCATTGAGTTGTGAGAACTAATGGTGGCATCTGTCTTAATTAGAATCAGCAGAACGAAAATATTATGTGGTTTGATGTGCAACTCAGAATAATACTAGTCTCAAATTGTTGATCTTTTCCATGATTTGTGAGGTTTTTTCTTTTTGTAACTTTATCAGATTAGTACACAGTATTTGTGCAAAAAATTGTTACCCACCGAATATCACCAAAGGCAAGTTCAAACACCCTCTTTTGTGGAGCTTGTCTTGGGGGGGTTAACTCTCTCATGTGGTTTATGAGCTATAGTGATGTTTACCTTTGGGCACCCAAAAATGCGGTGCGGTTCCGTTGTGATTAAAAAAATTAAAAATGGTCAGCCAAAAAGTCATAAAATTTGAGAAATCCCGTTTTATGACCAATTTACAAACTACAGACATTTGCCCAGTGCCAACGACGTGCAGACGCCGTTTGCTGCTAATTGCTATATGAAGCAGCAATACCCACTAACTAGGAGGGGTGGGCATAAATATCGAAAAAATTCGATTCTTTGGTGTTTCGGTTTGGTGTCGGTTTTTTTTTTCGGAACTTCGGTTCGGAGTTTGGTGTAAGGTTTCCGAAACTACAGTGCACCGAAGAACCGAAGTTTTATTAAATAAATTTAAAAGTATTTATTATATTACCTAATTTTTAACTTTACCTGGCCCATTTCAATTTTTATATTTAGATCATAAACTTAAATAGCAAAAATCTTAATAACAAAATAGTAAACCCTAAAGACCTAAAGTCTAAACTAAACAAAACTCAATTTAATTCAAGTTTCAGCAGCACTTGGTGTTTCTACTTTCTACTTTATGATTTTATCATTTTATGTTGTTACTTTGAAGTGAGAACAACAAATTGATGCTCTTACCTTCTATTGTTAGATGGTTAGTTGTTATTTTAAAGTTTGAAGTGTGAATTGAATAACAATTGTTACTTTATCATATTCTCTCTTTATTTTTGTTGATACCGAAAAATCGATTTAAAAACACCGAATTAAATCATACCGAAGTAGAAAAAACCGAACCGAATCGAACCGAACCGATCTAGTTTGATTTGAAATATGGTGCACACTTTTCTAAAACCGAATACCGAAGAGCCGAATCGAAATTTGATTAAACCGAACCGAAGAACCGAACGTCCACCCCTACTAACTAGTCCCCAAATTCAGGGAAACGCTTACTCCAAAACACTTTTTTCGGAATTAGGATTCCATCTACGTGAATACCTCTCGACAACTTCAACTGCCCATATCCCCTCTTTTAAGCAATCAGAGTGTTGTTTCAATGGCTACCGACGCCAGTTCAGATCGGAATGCGACAGCCAAACCTGTGCTGCTACCGGAGATTGGGTCCGATGGTATTGCTAGAGAATCACCGGTCATTGCTTACACCGAGAAGGTCCGTCTCTAATTTATACACTTTAATAATCTGTGCTTGCTTTCAATATACCATAAGTTACAGTATACACTTGTTGATTGTTGCAATGTTGTTTCCAGATAATTGAGGCAGAGCAGCTTCAATTAAGAAAGTGAGTTGACTACTTACTTTCTACTCTTATGGATCTCATGTTCAACTTCAATACTATTGCATTGCTTGTTCCTTGTGCCATTTCACTAGTAAATGCCTTTCAATGTTACTCAGTTATCTTCGTCAGAATGAGTTAGTGCTGTTTCAGTGTCAAAAGTTTACCAAGGATTGTTAGTTTACAAATCTGAAGTAACCAATATCAGACGGTTGAATTGGAGGAACACAAATGATTATGAAAGAAGTTCAGTGGAACATTCTGTAATCCAACGCATAGCTGGATAGTAAAAGATTCTGAACTTGAATTTTACTCTAATGGATTTGACAGTTTTCCTACATTGATTGGGAAAGCGAATAAGTGGATAAATGCACGACTAAAACATCTGTTAAATGTAGATTCTGAAGGTGATTATGGTGGTAAACATGAAAAGGAAAACACACAGACAAATTATATTGGACCAGGCTAGTATGTAAAGCTCATCTATGGCTAATAAACTTATGCACAAACATGATCCAAAAACCTTCTTTCTCAAAGAGAATTTTAATGAAGGAGCATTAAGAAAAGAATTACTAAAATTCAATTGCATATAATTTCAACAAAATGGATTCCATGAAAGAGCTTTTCCTTTATTCTCCCAAATAAGAACATCATGGGATGTAGAGATCTTGAAAATTATTGTTTAAATCTCTTGTATCCCAGGAAATCCTTGTTTTACAGATTCTGAATGTTTTGCATGTTTTTAGTCCATGATCTCAGGAAATCTCTTGCATCCCAGGAAATCCTTGTTTTATAGATTCTGAATGTTTTACATGTTTTTAGTCCATGATCTTAGTTCCATATATCCAGTGTATACATTGTCAGCGGTAATTGATTTAGAGCAGAATGTAATAGGGACCTGAGATACTGTGGAAGTCATGGTAGTGTATATTTGCTTGTAATCATGTTATCACCAGCATTAAAGTTCTTTTCACATCAGATACGCACCCTAGGTTTTCTATGCATAATGATTTTTCTCCTCTGGTATATCCTGTCAGATATATAGATGAAAATTACTCCAAGATTCGTGATGTTGAGAAGGAACTGGCAAACCTGTCAATGGAGATGAAACTTACAGCTGGGCCTAAGAAAGCAGGTCTGTGCCTTGTCTATGCTACTTTTTTATGCATAAGTATCTTATAATTGCACAGCTGATTTATGAGCTTTCCTGTAACCTTCAGCACTTGAACACATGAGAAAGAAAATAGAAATGTCAGCAGAGAAAATCCGTATTGCTAAGGAGAAGGAAGAACAAGCACGAAAGGTTTGTCTCCCCTTTCTATTCTTTTTGGTTTTACAATCATTTATCTATTTAAAAATAATACTGATTGAATCCTTACCTCTCTGTTTTCTGTTTTTCATATTTAACACTCAAAAGCACTTTTAAGATATATTAACAAAACACCAACCTGTTTCTCTAATAATAAAAAAAATGTTTCTTAAAAGCTTTAGCCAAACACAAATTACTACTCTTCCGAATTTGAGAAGAAGTCATTTAAAGATTAGCTGATATTTGACACTTTTCCAAACGTGTGAAGTTGGATTTGTATCAAAAGTGCTTTTTGATTTTGAAAAGCGTTACTTATGTGGAGATTTCATGTTCTTTCCCATGAGAAGTCTGGGAAGAAGCAAAAAAATGGTGCCTTGGCATGTTTAAATTACTTGCATTTTAGTCCTTTCCTTTTCAAGCTTGCATTTTAATCAAAAGTGACTTTTGGTTTCTAATATTAGTGCTGGATTCTTCTATTCCTTATCCTAAAAGGTCAGGGAAGTAGCAAGATAATGCTTTCACTTGCTAATTATCTCCACTTTCTCTCTTTTCCCCAATCAACCTGACACTTCTAATTGTTGTGCTTCCTTCCACATTCTGTCTAATGCTTAATGAAACAACTTCTAAAATAGACTAAAGTACTAGACTAACTAAAGTTTCTTAATATATTTCCAGTTAGAGGCGCAGAAGGCCTTTGACTAAGAACTGAGCTGATTTCTTCAAAAAAAAATTCAGTCCTTTAATATAAAGATTTCACCAATCAGGCAGGTTGTTGGGCTTTAAAACATAGTACATAATTTGAAATATCTGCTTGGTGGCTTGAGTGCTAAAGGAGAAGGTCTGTTGAAGTTTATTAGTCACTTGTATATATTGCCTTAGATGTAAACAATGCAACAGTGGAAGATATTTAGTTGTTCAACAAGCTGGTTTTGAACGGTGAATGCATGAAATGTGAAGGTGAAAGAAACACCGGTTCTCTAATAATGGCTTTTAAATATTTTGTTAAATTTTCTAGGCACCTGAGATTTGAAATATAAACTAATCGTGGAAGCAAACAACTTTTGTTGACTACGATTTTCTAATGCATCTCTTTACATATTCTTAATTATGAAAAATTGTTACTTAGTGACTTATATGTGGTTTGTAAATGTGTACATTTTTTGTCAAATGGAATTAATGTTCCAATTGAGACCCTGAAACTGAATGGTTTGACTCTCATACGAATGGTTTGACCTTCATTAAGATCTTTGCTTCTGAAGAGGTCAACATAATCTTACCAATAGCAGATATGCATTTTCTGGAGTCATCATACCTGTTCTCTCTCTAAAGGCCAGATGAATCTTTTTTTTTTTTTTTTGGTGTAATCTCTAAGCTGTAGATGACGTAGTTGAACTTTTGATATTCCATCAAGTCCTTCCGTTTTTGATAGGAGCTTGCTTCTGTAATCCTTTACATCTTCTGGATGCATTTTTTGCTAGTGAAATTCTTACTATAAAATTTGTTGATAGAACATGCCACAGCCCACATGCCCTACACCATATATGGTATTGATGTACTATTTTGCAATTTGCATGTACTTGATGCCAACCTCATGGGAATGAGCTTGTGTTTGCAAAATATTTACTCATTAAAGAAAAAAATGTGGTACCATCCATCTGATGCCTTTCGTGTTGTTTATTGCACATCTTGGAAGAACCTCTCACCGACACTATCTATTTGCAGACCGATCCCAAGCAAGTTGGGGTCGGCTATTCGAATCCTCATTGACCATGGTGCTCCATTTGATTTCATCTTAGAACTCATTGAAATATTATAATAATAAAATTCCATATCTAAAATTCTAAATAAATGCCATGATGATGACTGGGTATTTTACAGCTTTGTCCCGACTTCCAGTTTGAGGGTGAACACGTACGTAGCACTCGCAACATCCCTCCCTTTATCTCATCATTCCCTATCTCCTCAAGATAACGCGCTTTGTAGAGCCTCCAGTGACTATCTAACCAACTACCAAATCCTGCCATCCATCTCTTTATCACCCATTGACTATGGATTTTCAAATTATTTTGGAATAACATTCAGATAAAATGCCACTTTTTGTTGGTTTGGCATAATTTTTGTTTTGCCTATTCGTTCATAGAAAGCTATGGTCTATCTACAAGGTCAGGAGGCAACCGCTATATTATGCTGTTTCTTTTTTGTTCCTTCTCACATCTTGGTTCCGTCCTTGAACTTCATGGGTGTTTGCAGAGGAAAAAACCAGGCTGCAAATCTGTTCTGTGAGCAATAGATGATAGTATCCTCTATAAATAACTAGTTATTCATTCCCAAGAAGATCAGATATAGGATAATGAGTGTCGAGTGAAGTCTGTTCTCAGGCTACTTTATATCCTGTACTTTCCTGTCTTATTGATGACCTAGAGAAGGTGTTATCCTCCTCTCAGTTTCCTACATTTCAGCTTACAGTGAGTCTAACGAGTATTTGCTTGTTTTCATCTCTTGCAATGATTTTGCTTCCATAGTAGCAGCCTTTCTCCTGAATGTGATATCACCAATCAAAAAGAAAAAAAGAAAAGAAGGAAAAAACAGAACAACACATAAAAAGGGAAAAACACTAAATGGAGAGATGGAAGAAGAGCATTAGATCTGTTACTTAAAGGAAATTGCAACGGACTTCTAAATTTGGTATGTGATTTGCTTCTTCTTATCTGATTTTATCTCTAGGCATGGGAAGCAGCATTAAAAGCTGTTAAGGATGAGGAGGATTTCAAGCAAAAGCTTTGTGAAGACTTGAATAATCTGGTATTTTGGTTTTGCATATTTCTTGTTTTCATTTACAGTGTTAGATTGTGTGAATCTTTTCAAGCGTCATTATCTTTTATAGGTTCGTGAAAGTAGTAACACTCAGCTAGCTAGATTGGAGGAACTGAAAAGGAAGCTGGAAGCTTTAAATCCAAGCAGAGCATCCACATCCTCTGCCTTGGTAAGAAATACTTTTTGGGAATCTTTATGAGGAGTTCACTAGCTCTGTATGGCTACTAGATATGTTAGCAGTATGATGTCACCTTTTACGCTGTTGTATTTTATCTCCTTTTGGATGTGTGTGAATTGAGGAGTTGATAATGTTCTTGGCCCTCTATGATCCTCTTAGTAACTCAAAAGTCTTCGACTAATTTAAGAGTCCAGTAACAAGCAACAAGAATTAGTATATGTGGCAGTCAACGTGCTGATTCAATATAAGAATGCCTACAAGAAAAAGGTGGCAGAGGGGAGTTCTTGAAGCTTTTGGAACTTGCTTCTCTATTTAATCAATATGGTAATCTCAGATTGAACATGTAGAACTCGTGTAAATTTTGGACTGGAGCCAAAGTATTTTACTTGATTTTCTCATTGCTTATAAAAACTGATGTATTTTTCAACTGAATGTAGAGAATTATGATTTGATTCTTCTTGGTTTTTGTCAAAGCTTCTGCTACTTTTTTGTTTCTTGATGAACCTTGTCATAGGTGGTTACTCTGTGAAAGCAGTATTTATTTTTAAACCTGAAGAAAGCTATTTGGCAGCATTGAAGATTGAACCAAGTCCAACTTATTTGGGCTTGAAGGACAGAGTTCCCAAGCTGGCCAAATTGGATGGATTATGAGATTGGATGAGCTTGTGCCTAGAAAAACAGTCCCCAGAATGCCCCAATTTGGTCAATGCTTTAACCCATTTTATCAGAAAGCTCTAATATCCCTGTGTTTGTAAGATGTGAGCCTACGTTTTGATACTTAAAGTATGTGAAGTGTGAATAACCTTCACTTGAACACTCCCTTGTGAGAGGGATGACAATGTTGAGGGAGAATGAGCACAATGTAGGCCAGATAACATACTACCACGCTGTAGCCAAAACTAGAAGCTGAAACAATCCCAAATGTTTGATTGAAACCTTTATCCTTCAAGATAAGAGTACCAGAGTTCCTTGTGCTTCTTTTTGCTCCTTCCATAATCTTGTTTTTGGAGCTACAAGACTAAAAATGTCCCTGAGAATCTGAGATGATATGATGCTTCTCGTGTTATCTGCTTAATAATGCTTCCTAACCAAAGCTGCATAAAACTGATGGCCCAAAATGTTCTTAGGATCTGAATTCTGTGGGACCTGCACCAAGCAGTATGAATCGAGATGTTCCCTCAGTTCAAGGTTCACAAGAATCATTAAATGGATCATCTGAAACTACATTGAAAGAAGGAAACACTGGAAATGCTGCAGCAGAAAATGGACAAAACCAACAACGTGAAGCAAGAGGAAAGAAGAAAATTAATGCCCAAGGAAGAGAGAAGGGAATTGGCATAATACCTAAAAGTAGAGGTGCAGCACCACCTGGTTGGACGGGGTCTGGGTTTGATGTGGATGGTAGAAGTTGATGACAGTTCAGTTTCGATTTAAAAGGTACACTTGCTGATCTTAATTGGTATAATGTCTAGTACAAGCTTTGAAGTAAAGTATCTTTACTCCCTTCTATTATGTGCTGTTTGTAAAATGATGATACACATATTCAATTCTGAAACATTTCTTAACATCCCATAACTAATGCTTTGAGTTATAACATTGCTGGGCCGACACTACACTCAAAGACGACGGAAAGCCGAAAGGCAGTCGATTTCCTCTGTACAGGGTAGGTAAATCATGCTATAATTCTAAATTGTTTTTAAAAATATATGGACATTCTCGAAGGCGGGTGATGCCCAGAAAGAATTCAAGTCTGAAATCCCAGTATTTGTCGGGAAAGACCTCACTCACACGTAATATAGTAATATTTAAGGCTCTTCGTGAAATAGGTCGGCGAATAACCAATCCAATAAATCTTTCTGGTTGGATTTTATCAAATCCTCCCTCTCTTTTTTTTTTTTTTGGAAAGGTAACAGCTAAGTCCCTTTTGTTTAAGAACTTTTCTAGTTTGTTCTCAACCTAATTCTGCCATTTTGGAAGTCTAACTTCCTGGATAAGAAAGAAAAAGAGAAGTTTTGAATAGTTAGTCCCGACAATCGGGTGGGAGAGGAAGAGGAGATTAATGATTTGAAGAATGTTGCAACTTAATCTCATTTGGGAATGACTTTTGCTTGGTTAGTGTGGATGAGACAGAAGTTGACTTCCCATCTAGATTACTAGAGTAGTATCACTCATGATATGGGTGATAAATGTCCTTCAAATTGGGGTTGAAAGGGAGTTAACTGATGCATACAGCTCTTAGTCACTGATATTTCAGTATTTTAATATACTCAATTATTGTTAGGAAGTATACATCACAGAACACCATTTGAAGTGTACTTTTAGATAAAAGGAGAACCAGATGATTTTTTTATTCTAATAATCATGTAGCAAATACATTGGTGAATGTATGCAAACAAGACATTTCTAGAAATTCATGACTTCACATTCTGAGTATATTGTGGTAAAATATGTCTGATTATTGCATACATTTTGGTTAAAATATATCTCGCATGGATATTTGTAGCATGCGTGAATAAATCCTGTTATTAGGACATATGCACCTATATGGCATGCAAAAGCATAGAAGCGGTAATATATATGGATTAGTAATTTAATTTAACGAGGGTGATCGTTACTTTTATCTCCTCCTCATTTTTCTCTTTATTGTTTTGTATCATTACTACATGCCGTCCATGATTTCATTTCATTGATGCAACTTATAATAATTGCATCTTCTGGTCAAGTAAAATCGCAAGACATTTAGGGCTGAATGTAGAGCCAAGATGAGCTTGAGCTCGAGAGGTACAAACTCAGTTTGGGTATTTGTTACGCGAGGCAGGAGTTGAATTCAAGCTTGGGTAAATAAATTTCTACGAAGCCGATTCAGTTTTAGTGCATGCATGAGGCCAGTTAATATCGAGCTCATCTATGAACTTGTCCTTGAGTTTGTCTAAGCTCTAGTCCAAAATTTACATGAGTTCTACATGTTCAATCTGAGATTACCATGTTGATTAAATAGAGAAGCAAGTTCCAAATGCTTCAAGAACTCCCCTCTGCCACCTTTTTCTTGTAGGCATTCTTATATGTTTGTAAATATTTGTGAAAAAACGTATAAATATATTAAATGGAACCCGTAATATTATAAGCAGCTCCGGGTGCCACTGATTCATGTAGTCTGTTAAGGACTTAAGGCTCTTCATTTCTTTATGTTCTGAATTCAATTCCCAGTGCAGGCATTCAAGTAATTAACTGATTTTATCACCTACTCCTAGGCCCTCACCTCACTTTCCTCTTTTTGTTCTTTTAATTCTCCATTATTGTTGCTTAAAAAGCTTCTCCAATTTCTCCTACTTCATCATTGTGAGAAATATAAGGGAAGAATATTATTAAATTGTTGTTGTTTACATTATTACATTGAGACCCTATTTATAGACCCTAGAATACAATCATTTACCAAGTAGGATACTATTTAGTATTCCTATTTCTATTTCTATTACTATTCCTATTCTAATAGAATTGTATAAACCTATTCCTATTCTAATAATCATATTTTCTTTTTCAATTTATTTATACGAACCTTATTTTGTTTCTACAGTTAAAGTTACTTCATAAGAAGCTTCTTTTGACAAGTAAATATGAATCATTTTATTTAACACATAATTTTTTTTCCTTTTGATAACGCAACATTGATCTATCTTGGAATATAATTTGAGTTCTCTTTTTGATGACGCGACATGAAATATAATTTGAGCAGTATTTTTTTAACTTTTGAAAGATTGAAACAGTTTGTTTACTAGACATGTTGGGTTGATTCTCATAGATTGAAAAAATGAAGCTCTTTGTTTTGCTAATAATTGTCATTAAACTTGATAATTAAGATGGAGAGCTTAGTCAAGAATATTGAAGGTAAAATAATCTAAGCCAAAACAAAGAATATGTTGAAATTAAGCTATATTTTTAGCAAATCATCTAATTGGATGCACTCTTTCATGAGTTTGGTTTTTGCAATTTTCTTCTACACTAGAATTTAAATATTTAAATCAGGTGTGAATAAAAGCTAAACAAAACAAAACTTATTTGTCTATGTACGAATAGACGACCTAATCGAGTTAATCCACAATTTATTGACTCGACCCATCCTCTCTATTCTGTCTTTGTGACTAATGCTACGTATTGCATACATAAAATAGTGATACCTGCAACCTTCAAATCTTGAATCTGCCTCTGGTCACAAGCAATAGTGCCACAATTTATTTTCTTGAGAAAACATCCTGGGCTTTTTCAATTGTCTCATGAAATCAATGTTTTGGTTTCCAGAAACTATCACAACCTGCTTTTGTTTTCAAAACCAAAATACTTGATTCCAGAATTTAAGTGCTTTAGTTGTGTAGGAAAAAAATGTGTCCTTAAGGGTTGGGAATTGGAAACCTTTGGTTAGAGAGTGACATTTTTTATGCTTGCAGAGGAAAAAGATTGGAGGCCATGTTCGTGACTGAATGAGTCTAGTCGAGCTTTGCCGATTGGATTAGTCTAAGAGCTACATTGTGATTTCAAGTTCAGTTTATTTAAGGACTAAACTGGTTGAGTCAAGTGGTACAGAAGGCCTTCCTTGTGAATATGGTCCCCGAGATGAATAAGATAACCTTTTAGATGTTACTCTTGTTCGGAGCTCATTATCTGCAGATACAGTTATACTTGGAAAAAATCATGTGACCATACATCAAACTAGCTGCAAGAACTTCTCAGCTTGTGCCAGTAGAGGCTGTATTATTTGAAGGTGTCAAATAAGAGTGCTAGTTAAGACTCTATAATATGCAGTTAGTAGCTGATAAGTAAGATATGTTTTTGGTCAAGGCACAACAAATTTCTTCTCCTTGTTTTCTGTTGATTTGAGCTATCAATTTCTTTTCTTTTTAAGGTAAAGGAGGTACTATAATATTACACTATACTGTTGTTTTTGTTTAAGCATATCAATGCATGACTAGGCTCTGTTGCTACCCACTACTGCAGCTGTCCTTGTCCCATTTATTATAGTGGTCACGTGCAAGTACATGGCATTGTTTTTGTTTCTGTTCTGCAGCTTGTGAGGCAAAATCTCGTCAATTTGGTTGCTATTTGCGTACGCTAGTTATTGAATTCCTAGATTGGTATACCATCCAAAAATGCTGGCATGGTGGAAATGATTTGGTAAGAAAACTTTATCTTCCAAGTCAGTAACCTGACTGTAGGTGAACCTTGCATTTCCATGATAATTGCTAAATATGAATCTTGGATATTGTGGAAGCCCATATCTTGAGTAAACTGAGTAGTCCTTTTTCTGGGTAACTTATAGTCAAGCCCACTGTTTTCTAGTACGTAAGTGGTTTGCCTTAGTTATGACTCATATGAAGAGTGGACACACACCAATGCTTAATGACGTTTCAGGCAGTTCTCCAGTCTAGTAATTTAGTGATCCCACTCAGATGTCAGTTAGTAATGATAATAAATTTTGTCTTATTTGGGTTGAGTTGGGTTGGTTTGTGCATTTACATGGTAGTACCTAAACTAGTAAATTCATGTGGTACGACCAAATGAGTTAGAGTAGAAGCTGAGCATATACATTAACAAAAGTTAAATGTTTGGGCTGAAGGAAACAACTTTTTGTTTTTGGTGTTTGAAGTTTACTTTTGGACGACTTGTTTTTAAGTTTCTTGGAGTGATGGTTCACAGTAGGGTTCATTTCTTATGAATAGATGTTTGCTTTTGCTAATATTTGTTGATCTTTGTCACAAGGCAGTCTTACATCAGTGGGCTACTAGGATTTCTTACTAGCAGGGCAGAAAAATTAGGATTAAGCTTCATTACCTCCATTTCATAACAGTATTTATTCAAAAATATTTGACGTTTCAAAAAAAACAAAAGTACTTTTCTCCAAGACATTATTACTACTTCAATCAGTTGAGGTTTACTAATTAAGACACGTAAGAGAGAAATGATAATTTAGATAACTACTACCTCCGTCGCAAAATAAGTGTTATTTTAGCTCATTTTTAGTTCATTACAAGGTGTAGTTCACTAAAATTCCCTTTTTATTAGATGTTATTTTGAGAATTGAGCACTATTAAGATGTAGTTCTTTAATGCAAGGGTGTAGTTGGAAACAATTATGTGTCTTGAATTTCTAAAACGATACTTATTTTGAGATTATTATTTTTACTGAAGCGACACTTATTTTGGGATGGAAGGGAATATTTACTAACATCTGTCTGGATGGGAAATTAAAAAAAAAAATACTCTACTACATAGTTTTGGTGAGCCAAATTACATTGCTTGGTATGGTAGAATAATATTTCAGTGATGGTACCTCAGAATTCAAATTCACCCATCAATTACAGGACCACTAGAAAATAGAAATAGTTAATGCTTTATGTTTATAGTGGAGACATTATAAATAAATAAGATCGTCCTTTGTCATCTACAATCTTAGCTTCTGTTGCTGCCAATCTCCCGTAACTCACGTTTTTTTGCCTCCCTAACAGTAGTGCCTGTTCTCTGCTCTGCAAATATTTCAACATCATTACTGAAAAAGCTTTAAACTGCAAGTGTTTCTCCAAAACTATTCCAACAATCTTATTAAATTGAGCCTAAGGCCATAGATACAGGCATGAAAAAAAAGAAAGGATTGATGGTAACACTTTCTTGTGGATACACTCCCCAACTTTTCATTGAGAATTTGAGTGGTACTATACCCAACCAATCCATATCCTTGGGTATCTGTTCCAACCAGTACCTTTTTGTCAATTCTTTTACTCCTACAAGAAACCATCAATATTTGCCATGTGCCTCCAATTCAATGAGCTGGGTGTCATCCCACTGCCACTTCTGCCATCTGCATTTTGCATTTAATTAGACGCTTTAGTGCACATTTGTTTAGGGTTTCTCTAATCTCCAACGTCTTTATCCAAAATTTGATTAATAATTGTTTAATGGGAATCATTTGTGCTCTAACGTTCACTGAGAGAGGTGTCCTTTGTTTGACTGACAGGGTTGCAACCCTAGAGATTATGTATCCCACTATTTGACTAAACCCAGCTCCAAATTAACAAAGACACTATCTATTTCTCTTTAAATTTTAAAAATAATCTGAATGAATTAGGTTCAAATAAAGAGGCCATTTTAATTTCTTTGTGAATTAGAGATTTGTTGGTTGACTGAGCTAGGTTCTAGTAGTGGCATGTGGGCAAACAAAGTCGACTATGTCACTACTGGTGTAGTACACAAGTTTGGATATGAAGTTGAGTTTTTGGCAAGGTTGGAATTTTTATTTTTAAGCTTGTTTGGCCAAGTTAACAGTCAGTTTTTGAGAGAAAATTAATGTTTCTTGAGACTAGCAAAAACTTTTTTAGAAGCTAAGAAAAGTAATTTTTCCCAAAAAATATTTTTTAAGGGTAAGAAAGTTTAGTCAAATACTACCTGCATTCACTTTTAATTGTCATGGTTTCTTTTTTTTTGAGTCAAACTTTAAGAACTTTGAGTAATATTTTATGATATATTTTTTCATCATATTGATATGTCAAAAATTGCAATTTATAGTACTTTTCGTATAGTTTTTGAATATATAAATATTTTGCTTTAAATATCGAATTAATGTAATCTAATTAATCAAATTGACTTTTGAAAGTCGCAACATGACAATTAAAAGTGGATGGAAGGAGTATAAATTATTGATCAAACATATTTTTAAAATTTATTGGACAAAAACAAATCGTTCTCAACAAAGGTATTTTCTAAAAAATAAGTTAAATTTAGAAGCTAGGTGATAACTATAACCTCAGAAAATTTATCCTTATCTGATAGTAGTATATAAATTATCCAGAAACTTTAATTGATTTCGTTGTAGTGATCATCTGATAGTGTAGAGAGGTGGGATGAAACATTTCGTTTTGAATTATAGAAAGAGGGTGACGTAAGGTGGGGGAAGCAAGAAATCTTAAAATGATACGGTATGCATTTTTTAAGTCTAAAACCCTTCCCAGGAAAATGGACCTAGAACCTAGGAGACGGCCAAGGGAGAACTTTGGTTTTCGTAGGACACAAATTGTTATTTAGGATGTCACGTAGGATGTATATATTTATTTATTTGATTTTATACAAGTTTTAAGTGTATATATTTGTACATAAATTGAAGGACATAAATATGAGATGCGGTCAAATTAAATGATTTATTTATGTAATTTGTAAAATAAACATAATATTTTATTCAAATGTGAGATTATTTCCTGCGGGGAAAATCTAGAGTCAATTGAAGTTATATGTTTGGTAAAACTCAATTATTTTGGTAAATTCTATATATGTGTAAATAATATATACGACATTCAATAATGAAAATCATTGTGATTTTTCGAAATTAATAAATATCAAATTCTCATCCGGTTTTAATTTGGTGGAAGAAGGAGATCGAGGTGGGGTCAAGTGGGGAGGATTGGGGCAGAGTTGGGGGATGGGGAAGTTGAAAGGTACTTGGGTAGAATATTTAATATGTATCAGCTCCTTCATTATACTGACACCTGGTAGTGCAGTTCATAAATATTTTTGTTAAAATGTAGTTAGGTTGGCTATAGATTTGTTTAAGTATACGTTGAAGCCTCAACTAAATTTGGATCCCTCACTATAGGGTTTAGTTAAGGTGATGATTTCAATAAGATTTTTTCCATATTCATGACTTAAACTCGAGATCTCTAATTAAGAGTGAAGCAGTCTTATCACTATATCACAATCTTATCTTAATTAGGTTGGCTATAGTTATGCGTTTGTGTTGAATGCTAATTCCCTCTTTTGGATTTGTCTTCATTTGAAAATGGGGAAAAAATGGTCATACATAACTCAAATTTATTGCGTAAAATACCCTCTTTGGAGTCTTCACCAAAACTGAAACTCAAAAATGTCCAATGAGCATGGCAATTCTGTCCTGAAGCATGATGCAAGTTCAAATGAATTCCATTTTGGTACTATTTGCTTATTACGAGTGTGGGGTGGGAGCACCTAAGAACAAATTTACACATGAAAAAAAGTCATGTGAATACAGGCTATTCAAGTAAATTCGATATCGTATAATTCAAAAAATATATTTATTATTATTATTTGAAAAAATTCGTAATTGAAAAAGATTGAGTGGCACACTGATTGAAAGCTAGTTTTAATTTCACTTATATTGCACCTTTCATAAGTTAATTGGTACATGTTGTCTCTTAAATCACCATCATAAATAATGTCAAATTGATATTTCATTCTTACCTTAAAAATTAATGGTGCATTCATTATTTTGAAATTTTGAATTCGTCTCTGTTGTGTATACTATACATGTTATAAGTTAAATTCCTTTCGAATTAAAATGAGGCAAGGGAGATAGCAAATTGGAAAAAGTTGAAAAGGAGGAGAAAAAGAAAACCTTTAAGTAATCACCCCAAAAAAAAAGGTTTTTTTAAAAAAAGAATAAGGACAAGAAAGTATATAGAATTGGCTTGTAGTGGTTGAGGAATTTCATTTTGAAAGAAAGAAGAGTGTACTACTGAATTGGACCTATTTCAAGAAGAAATTTTCTTCTATAGTATGATGAGTAACTTCTTTTCACTTTTGACAGATTCAACCAAAAAAAATAAACTTTTG